AACAAACAAAAGATGTGGTCACATGCAAGTAGCTACTGTGTCAATGTACTGGTCTGAATAGACCCCCGCACCGAGACAGAAATTCGCTCTGATTGAATCAAGGATCTCATGATCCTGTGTAAGTTCTCATGATATTCTAATGTCCATTGACAACACATTGCACACTCTCCACTGGTGTCAGCACTACGCGAAGCCAACCTGTTGAGACGTCACAAGAGTATCCATCAGAGCTGATTTTGAAAATCTTTCCAGCGATACTGGTGCAGTTGAGCTTGAGTCGATTGTAAAGAAAGCTAGGGTACTCTCCACTGGTGTCAGCGCTACGCAAAGCCAAACCTGTTGAGACGTCACAAGGGTATTCATCAGAGCTTGATTTTCAGCATCTTTTCAGCGATAACTGGTGACATCTGTATCAATTCAAATTAAGTTGAGCTCGAGGTCAATTGTACAGAAAGCTTGGCCACACCCGCCGAATGATATTCATTTGTGATTTGACAAGGCATCGCATGAGTGACTGCGGCCCAGATTCGGTATCCGGCACCAACAATATAAGAATTCTGTATTAAATTTCATTCACGCCTATAAAGAATCTGAATTTTCTCCACCAGACCTGCCACATGAATAATAGAGTCTGACTCGAATCATAGAGTTTCATGAGCGACCCGGTTCTGCGCGACTTTATGTACTCCAGCACTTCCCTTCCCCGATTTTAGAAGTATCAGCAAAGTCAGAATCCCGCGTAACATCTCGTGCTATCAGCTCTCCGCGTGAGTTCCACGCCAGGCAGACGCGGTCACGTGAAATCAGCCGTGCATGAATCCAAGCCCAATCTCCTCCTGTGATCTAGCCAAGATAATTCGAATAGGAATTTGGATCCCTTCTCACTCCAAGTGGATGCTATGCGATGCCAGCCATCTGCTCTTGTCTTCGATCGCCTGAGGATAAGGCTTTCCCCAGATGACATGCCACGGACAGATCGCCCTGTCTCCAGTCCATGCTACCAAGTCGTGTGTCCTGTCATCGCCTTATCTCACATCCGCCCTGCCTAAATCCCATAAAAAGATGCGCGGCGACCCACTCGGTGCCACCACCAAGATGCACTTCAGGTGTGCGTGGACAAGAGACCTGCATAGCCTCAGGTGACGAGAGTGTCAGTCCAGCTGCTCTTCCTCGAGAGGCTACTGTGTATCTCGCTATTTTCTGACGCGTGTATACATCTACCTCCAGTTCTGCTTGGTTTTCTGCCGCGCGTGCTGTGCACGGAGTCCCGACGCCTTCGAGTGCCAGCCCAAGACGCAGTGTGTGGACGATTGTCGTAAGCCATGTCCGACTCTGACTGGGCACATGCTGACCTTAACGACTCATAGAAGGACTGTAGCGTCCTAGTATCTAACAAGTATCATGTGATTGAGCATACCGAAATAAACACGCAGAAACGGTTCGAGAGCATGTCTGAGATCTTCAGCTATCGTCACTCTTCAACGCCACCCGAATCCATCTCCGGCAGTCCAGCAATCGTTCCTGTGTGAGATCATCAGCCACATTCCGCCCCCAAAGAAGACTCGCCACAGCGACGCACATCCGAAACCTGCACCACAGCCTGCAGATCCTGAATCACACCCTCCAGCCCTTGCTCCATCTCCCACGACCCCACGATCTCATCTCTCCGAGGCTCATCACCAGCCAGTCCCAGACGCTGCGCATTAGACGACAGAGAGGGGTATTCGCCTCGATGCATGGCATCGGTGATCAATGTTTCAATGAGCACCGCCACGGTGAGCAGGGATACAGGATATTTGAGGACATCAGGTTCTTAAACTCGGGTGAGGAGCCTGCCACTGATGTCAACAACATGAATGGAGGCGCACCTAAGATGAGCGAAAATAGCCGGGCCCAAGTCCCTTTCTGCGCGTATTCCCACCCCGCTTTCGGCGGGAGAAGCGCTCTCAGAGACGGCAGTGCGCGCCAAACTTCGTCCAGAATCGCCTGCGGGGTGTCGCCGAGAGAGTAATCGAATGCCGATAAAATGTCTCGGTGCGCGGTCTTGTGATGAGTGAGTAGATACACGTAATACAGTATCGTTAAGCGACGCACTTCAAGGTCGTCATACCCCATCTCATGCGGCGCGATTCGTTCGTACTCGTAAGACATCACCGGCCCCAGCGGCTCCAGCACATCTCGATGTATCTTCCATGAATGTCAGTCGCAATGCAACCCGCCGCAGAGCTCAGCCGCGCAACACACCTTGACGCTGATCGCCAAACATCCCACGCATATATCCCACACGACCAAGTTCCATCCGTCGGGCGGGATGGACGGATCCCAGGACAGCCCCTCCTCCGACGCCTCGAAGGACGCCTTCATCGCTTCCAGATCGACACGCTGCGCGCGGTCGTGCATCACGAGATGGAAATAGCGCAGGAACATATGCGCAGCGTGGAACCGCGTCTCGGGAGAGTGCGTCAACTGGTCGATGAGATCGGGTACGTCGTCGCTCGTTTCGCTGTCGCCGTCTTTCTCGTCCTTGAGTGGCTTGAGCTCGACACCAGAGGCGGTCTGGAAGGCCCGCGAGTACATCGACTTGGGTGGGATCACCTATTCCCGTGCGCACATGAGCGAAGTTTTGGGCAATTCACGCAGAATCCACGCACCTCAAGCAGCCACTCCACCACATCCCGGCGCTTCTCACATCCCACACCAAGCAGCTGTTCCCAATTTGTCTTCTTCAGCACACCAGCACAATCCAGCAGCTCCCTCTCTCGAAGCCCCTGCTCGCGAAGCACTAAACTAGCGATGCGGGCTTTGGCAGCCGTTTCCGCCGTCATCGGAAACCCTGCCACGTAGCCCACCGGCGGGGCGATGACGGGAACGCCAGCTGGGAACGCTCGGCGGAAATCCAGCGTCGGGCGTTTCGTCGGCGGCGAGTTGGGTTCGGTCGGGGCGTGCGGCAGCTCGCTTTCCTTGGAGTCGTTCAGCTGTGCGGAATGCACGGGTATGACCTTGGGAAGAAGACGCACATCATGTGTCGCGGAGGAGGTCCGCAAGGAGAGAGACTTGCGCAGACTGGCACGGATGGGGCAGAGGGACATTGTGCTAGAATCAGAGTCGCTTCGCATTGAAGAACACGAGGCTTGAGAATCGGTTTTGCGGAGCTTGCGAGCAATGGGGGTGGAGTCATCGAGGGAAGAAAAAGATCTCTTGAAGGCTGGAGGAGAGCTTGAAGATCTGGGAGAAGAGTTGCCAATCAAGCGAAAGAAAGCAGAAACAAGTCTTACTCAGAGCTAAGCATACATCCATCGTCCATATCGGCAGCATACCCTGCAGAGGAGGCAGCAGAAGAGAGAGATTCAGACCGGGAGACGCGTGCCGTAGCAGAAGAGGAACAAAAAGAGCCTGTCGTCGCAGAAGACCAAGAATACATCCGCCGAGCGAGGACGCCACGCTTGATGTTACTGGGGACAGTTCCGCGCGGATACTCCGGTGTCGTCGCGACGCTGCTTGCAGAATCCAGAGTCGCTGAGATATCTTCTCCACCTCAACAGCCATCTTGCGCTCACGGATAGCGACATCCAGGAGGTCGTCCAATCGCGACAGAAACTCGGCTGATTCGAGCACTTCGCTCACGCCTGTCATGACCGGAGGTGCGTTGACAATTGGCCGGACTATCTCATCTGAGCTGCTGCAGTCGGGGATGGACGTCGGTGGAGATGAAGAGGGTAAGAGGGCGTCGGAGAAGCGAGGGGAGCTGCTCGTCGGAGGCTGTTGTATCGGTTCTTCGTCCAGATCAGTTTCGGCGATGCGTTCCAAGGATTTGGAGTTAGAGCTGGATACACGGGGCGCCACAGGATACAAATGAGGAGGAGAAGCAATTGGGTATGTAGAGTCTTGATGGGGGACAGGCCTAGGGAGTGACTTGGACAGGGACTGCGGAGAGCTAATTGATGAGCGCATATATCTTTCATCGGTGAGTGCAGGTGAGAGGAGGGTATTATTAGTTGATTCTTTGAGGTTTGGAAGGCGTCTCAAAGGGAATGGAGACTTGCTGCCGTCGGAGTCGTTCTTGCTGTTCTCATTTCCCAAGGAATGGTTTGCTTTGTAATGGAGAAGGCCGGGGCGAGAAAAGGTGTGGGAAACAGAGGTCTGAGAAGATCTATACGTCCGACGGTGAACGACAGGAGTGGAGGGAAGGTCCATGCCAGGTTGTACGGTCAGTCGGTTCCCGGTGGCAGCGTCCACGAGCGGTCAAGCCGAAAGAAGAGACGCGATAACGTGACCTCGAAGATGACGTCGCGTAGGCGATATTTAGTAATCCTTCCAAGCATTGATTTTTATCGAATCGGAGGAACGATCACAGAGATCCTAGCTTGTCGAAACACTCATCTCATCCGACCGCCGATGGGGTGATAGGAGAAGTTATGCAGGTAACTCGGCTGATGCTCCTCTGAGGGCGAATCAGGATTGCCCAAATGAGAACGGAAAGGGACTTATAAGAACCCGGGTGGTAGCCGTTGGACCTAACATCAAGATGAGTTCTCTAATTGCCATCTTTACATTGATAATGGGGCTGTTGCAAAACGTCTCTGCTCGCCCCCTAGCAGCAATGGTAGGAGCGTCTGCATCTATGTATAAGATTTCCAAGTCTAGCATCTGATTCGGCGGTTCAAGGCCGTGGACAGTGCCAACTCTGGCTGGACTGTGGACGGAAACAACTACGGTGCGCGTACTTATTTATAATCCTCAGCCGTAAACATGCCTCCGACTGAACGACGAGACCAGGTTGGCATGTTGATGGAAACAATTATGGTTGGATAATACGTGGCGGATCGCTCCAGCAGAGTTGAGAGTGGTTGAAGGTAACAGATTCCGCTTGAGATATCATAAGGTGACGTATGCGACATCGATTCTAACATCCATGCCGTTGAGATGGGGTGATAGGAAGTGCAACGATGATCTCTGTGATAGCTCTTCATGCGATCAATGCCACTAATTATTTAAGAATGACTGGAGAGCGACAGCCCTCCTGACTAAGAATGCGATTGTCCGCTGGAATCTTCGTATTGGCTGCGCTGTGCCATGCACATGCTCGCCCAGTCGTGGTAAGTGCCCAAGTGCTCTTCTGAGATGGATGTTCTTTCGAGTACTAACGCATGACTGCTGGATCTTTACAGCCTAGATTGTATCTGTGTCCTCGAGTAGGTCCATAACGCAATCATTGCAGACGCCATGATCTCATTTTCATCAGCTTGATGCGACGGCAGATTTGGATTCAAGAGTCGTGGTACGATCCGCCTAGCTTTGATTGCCCCTTGGCATGGGAAGCAGCTCATCCGAGTCTAGGCAGTGGACAGCGTCAACTCAGGATGGAGTGTCGACGGAAACAACTACGGTGTGTCCTGTTTCCATGATTCAGCACTTTCTCACCGACGGTGAACATGATGGAATTCAGGTTGGAGCGTCGACGGGAACAACTATGGATGGTCGATCAACGGCGGAGGGATTCCCGTCGGCGGATGCTACGGCGCCCCTCCTAAGCGCTCAGCTTCATGATACTTGAGATCCTGCAACGCAGTAATAATATTTTTTTTGACTAAACGGCACATGCGACAATAAAAGAAGTCATATTCGAATCAGTACGTAGTGATACACAGAATGGGAGACACAACAAGATGCAAAGACAGTTCGCAAGACCAATGAATCAAGGGTTCTTAGCATCGGCGCCAAAGGGGAATTGCATGATCGCAGGACCAGCGAGGGTGGTGTCGTCGCTGACAGCAGACCCGTTCGAGCTGACTACGGCATACACGGTGCCCTGCAGATTACTGGGGAGCTTCGCGGTCTTGTTGACGATCGGAGCGAAGAGTGTGTTGACACCGGTGAACAGCGCCAGGAATGCATCGCCCGTCTGGTTCGTCTGGTAATCGAGCGTCACGGCGCCATTTTTAGGGCCGGTGAACTTGAGCGTGGGGAAGGCCATGAGCGGGAGCGCGGGGTTTGATGACGGGCAGCTCGTGATGAACGGCACCGCCAGCGAGAACACCTGGCGCAGGTCGAGCGGCGTCTCGTACGCCCCACTCCACGGCTCCTGCTTCAGCACCGCCGAGTGCAGCCACGCCGCATGGCGGGCTTCCGTGGCGAGGATGGACCCCGCCTCCGTCAGCGTCGTGTCTGTGAGGAAGTGCGCGGCACCGAGGTATGCGCTCGTGCCAACGCCCTCGAGAATGCCGGCAAGAGCCGCGAACGAGGCTGGATCGGTATGGGGGCTGCGAAAATAAATGGATCAGAACCGTTCGAGAGTAGGTCCATTGTCCGTCCAACTCACAAGCTGTAGTTGCATGCCGCAACGGACTCGTTACCGAGCGCCTTGGTCAAGAAATCGACATGGCCCGCCTCGTGTTGTGAAATCTGCGCAAAGCGGCCACGGACCCAGGACGGGAATCCAGCCTTGGTGAAGGCGGCGTTGTCGTACTTTGCAAGACCACTGGCGTAGAAGGTAGCCTCGAGGTGCTCCAGCGTGAGCGCGTACTGGAGAATCTCCGTAGCGTTGGCCATCTCCGCTGCCCGGGGGAGCAGCGGGACAGCCGCAGAGACAGCGAAGAATGAGGCGAGGACAGCGAGGAAGTACTGCATGATGGTACTGGAGAAATATTCACATTCGACAAAGTCCCTTTAAAGAGCACAGCGGCCGAGCGGGAGATCGAGCATCTGACCAGTAATCCGAAGAATGACGCGAAGAAGGATGGAGGTTTAATTAACGCGTCGGTCAGCTCGGTCGAAATACGCTCGAATGACGCAGGCGATCAACTCAGTCCGAGATGCCCGATCTGGAGACATTCAAATGCGAGGGGTGAGGATCCGATCCTCCTCGGCTGCACAGCTTTCTCGTGCCGCCCCACATCGCCCCACATTCAGCCTGTCTTCATTTTACTGCGCAGGGCCTCAATGGACTGCGCACGCCGCGTTGTCCAAGCATAGACCCAAGAGCACAGGGGAGAGCATCAGCAGACTTGTAGCACCGGTCCCAGAATCCAGAAAAAAGACAAAGATTACTTAGATCTGTTTTGCTCCCACGGAAGCGGGATCCAAGTAAAGCGTGGAGTGCTCTGACACGCAACAGTCTTTAGATGGAACGTGCGAGGCCTGGATCCGGAGGTAAAACGATCAACAAGCAGGCACCGGTCACGGGTGCCAGTATGCAGGACATTCACAGGAGTATATTGCGAGACATACATGCACAAAGGAGCAACCTCGCACTTAGTATCTATACCGCGTCGAGTAATCTGTCCACATCAGCCTGCGTCCGACGACCAGATGAAGGATGGAATGACACACACCTTTGGGCGAGACGACCAACCCACGACCCTTCGACGCGCCGCGATACACCGTCTCGATTATGTCAATTAACTGCCAAAAACGACGTGAGAGAACCGACTTATCATGCTGAGCGGGCAGTACCTCCTGTTTATTATCCATAGCCCAGTTGCTAGAGCCCGACATCAGGATCGACGCACGAGCGAGCACAGGGGACCCACATCTTGTTGTTGTTACCCGTGCCCAGATCGATCATGATGTGCTTGTTCCTGCGCATCCATCCCTGATTCAGCGTTCGCACACATTGTGCAGCAAGTGAAAACGGACCGATAGAAGAACATCACCGTGCAGGGATCGTACAACTCGTACATCTACCGCCCCTCGTCAGCGCCCACTGCACCTCACCGCACGAGACCCTCCACCACGAAACGCACCTTGTTGAAGTCCGGCACCTCCGTGATATCGCAGAGATAGATGACCGCAAAGTTCTGCACCTTCTCCGAGACGGCGTAGAGCGTCTCGTCCATCGTCATGCACTGCGAGTCCCAGTCATGTCCGAAGCGGATCACCACCACACGGTCCTCCTCGGATTTGATCGCTTCGTCGACGTGCCAGCCCGACGGCAGATGGGGGAGGAAATAGGACATGCGGGATGGTGGTGTTGGTGGTGGTGGTGGAGGACGACAAGTGCTGCCGTATAGTAGGGTTATGGTTATGTAAGTGTCTCTGATACTATTGCATGGTAGGGACGACGAGGCTCTATTGTTATTAAACAGGGCTGTAAGGACTACAAATAAGCGGAGCATACATACAGGGACGCAACTACGTGAGCCGAAAACCAGAATCCGAAAGTCCAAAAGAAAATCACAAGCACCCCTACGATCATCGATGCTCTAACTTGATCCTATCATCATCATCCACGGCAGTGACCGTCTCCTCCGTCGAGACGCGCGAGTTCCTCTGGCTCTGCGAAGCCTCCGAACCATCTCCCTCGGTGATATCAGAAAGGTGGGTGCGCACATGGTCGATCTGGGACGTCGTCTCCAGCGCAAAGTCCTCCTCCTTGTCTAGCGGGGGCGGCATGCCAGCCGGCTCTCCCTCCTCCGAGCCAGACGAGGGCGCCGGCACAGCTTGCAGCGTGCTCGTCGACGCGTTCGAATGCGTCATCGACCCGGCGTCTTCGTCGTCATCATCAGCAGTGTCCCCCCGAGGCCGACTGCGCAGCGGGGACTGGACCACGCGCACGCCCAGGGCGGAGCCCGCCTCGGACACGACGGTGCCGCTGGTGCGCCGCAGACTGCGCTTCGCCGAGTCGGCGCTTGGGCGCGGGGACGCGGACAGCGTGACGCTCGGGCGGGGGCTCGAGCGCGGCGTCGCGCCGGCCGAGACGGACGTGTCTAGGGTGGTGTTGGCGGGGCCCAGGGTGGACGACCGGAACGTGCTCGCGATCCTCGAGATGCGTCCGTGCAGTCCTCCGTCGCGTTTCGCCTGCAGCGGCGGCTGTGGGTGGGTCGCGTCAGCACGGGCGCGGTGGCCGCGGAAAGCACGCACGAGGGGACTCCCGCTGCCGTCGTGGCCCAGGAACGGGTTGTCGTCATAGTCCGCGACAGATCCCGTCATCGTGATCTGCTGCCACTCTTCGTCGGAGATGGATGGCCGCGAGGGAAGCTCCGCAGTCTGCGAGGGCTCCTTGCGCGAGAACAAAGAGATCTTCCGCGCCCTGCGCTCGCCCGAAGCCGTGCTCGCACTCAGCTTGATGGGCTCTGGAAGCGGCACGGAGGACCCTTCTTCGCGTAGGTTCGGCGAAGATTTCGACTTCTTCGCGGATTTGTGCTTCGGTGCTGATGGTTTCCCCTTATCTTTATCTTTCTCCTTCACATCCTTCCTGGTGCCCGACTTCGACCGCGACCGGATTCCTTTCAGGAAACGCGACGTGCGGGATTGCCGGGGTGGGTCGCTCGCCGCAGCCGACGCCATCTCGTCGTTGTCGTCGTCGTCGAACACCTCGGTCAGCTTGACCCGCCTCCTCGGCCGCGACGCCTTCTCATCCCGCACCTCTGGAAAGATCCACTCCACGATGCCGCTGTCGTCGTCGAAAGCGCCCAGCTGCTCGAATACGTCCAAAACGGACGCGCGGAGCGGCTCGTAGTCGCAGTTGCGCGGTGGGCGCTGGGTCATGGCCATGGCTGTAGGAGGGGAAGACAACGAGCAAAAATGTTCCCTCGTCCGGTTATGTATCGATGGGCTCTGCTGTGAAATCTCCCCAGTCCCCTAGGTTACGCGCAGATGACGTCGTCTCCACGAACAACCCGGGTATAGAGATGATGGCGGCCGGCTAGACGACGCAGGAGGGAGAAACAAGATATTAGTCAGGGCCGGATATGCTGCAGTGTAACGCTGGCGAAAACCGGGGCGTGAAAGCATGTCCGCGGCGCGCGAATAGCGGCAAGTCTATTGCTTATCCTGTGCTAAGTTGGCATATTCCCAAACTCGACGCCTCGTGGCCAAATTGAGTAATCCTTCTGATCGAATTCACGACAGGTGGCTGTGCGTTCAAAGGCAGATAGGGGCTGTTGGCGGGTGGCTCGAAGGACAACCAGCCGGTGTTCGTTGTTCGCTTCAACACGGACTGATTTATATTTTCTCGTGCCTCAGTCTGCGATGAATGAGATGACGAAGATTTTGGCATTCTGATCGGCTCCACACGTTCGATGCAGTCCATGATGCCAGCAAGGCATCGAGTCGTATTGTGCGAACGGAGAATCTCTCCCCGTTTGACATTGTGATCTCATGCATTGATTATACCAGTCATTCGGAAAGTTTCAATGATGTATTCCCTCAGTATCTATTTGCGGCCGATAGACCAGCCGTTGTTGTTCCCTTCCACGACCCAGCCTATTTTTATTCCAAGACACCTGAGTGAATGGGCGCGGAGGTTCAAAACAAGAAAACCGACCGTCGTTGTTCCCCTCGATAGACCATCCGCTGTTGTATCCATCGACCTTTGAGGAGAAGACGGTGAGAAGTGCAGCACGAATAATGAATGAGTCATCATCCGCGTACAGCAAGTAGCCGGGCTTCGATCTGCCGGACGACGTGAGTAATTGAAAGAGAGTCGACCGGTCGGCCGGTCAATGCTCACCGGTTCTCTCTTCGTGGAGGCTAAGGTATGCCGCATTAGGATCCAGGGACCCTTTGTAAGCGTCACACTGTGACAAACAGCGACGGAAGATGACGACGGCCACGGAGGGAATATAGCTAAAGTACTCACATGGGGTGTTTCTGGAGGCCTTTAGCACACCTGCTATGTGAGTAGAATTTTTTATTTTGCCTCCTGGAGAGCGTGATGTGAGGTTCAAGAATTCTGCATCAAAAGTTTTCTTTTATTGTAGAAAGTGATTTCCAACTGAACTGAGCATCTTTAAATTTTGGGTCGGAAGATTTGACCATTCACGTGACGTCCCAATTAGGAAGTGGTGGTGCTGCCGGCGTTGAGATCCCCTTCTATAGTCATAGTAGCCTTAAAGAAATTCAATTATCCTTCGGACACCCATTTTGGATCACATTGGGTGCATACATGTCCATAATGACACCGAAAAGAAGGGCTACGTTTTTCGGACTGTGAATTTGAACGTCACGTGACTGTCACGCACTGCTTACTAAGGGTCCCTGGATCCTCATGCGGCATACCTTATGTTCTCCGTGTTCTGGCGCGGCTGCAATTTGGGAGGGTTATCGTGCATAGCGCGGGCTGCGGGTCAAGTACTTACCACTGCGGCAGCGAGTCCGAGTGCGACTGGGGCTGCCAGAGCGAGGAGACGTGTGAACTGCATTTGAGACGGGGGTGTTCAGGAAATTGAGCGCAGTACCTGGAGAGAGTGGACCAGGACGCGGATTAAGTACGCATAGAACAGCGGTACCCTCGTACTCAAGAAATTTAGTGCGGTCGGCGACAGCTTGGCGAATCAGTCAATCTCGGATGATTCATATCTCTCTGCGGATGCGTTACAGCAAGATTCTGGGTGATAGCCTCAGAGACGTGAAAGGAAGTTCACCACTCGCGAGAAATTTCCAGGGGAATGAGGCCCGAGCCATGTTACTAGCAGCCGCCACCTCCGCCGCCACCTCCCCCATCACCCCCGCCATCACCTCCGCCGTCGCCGCCTCCAAACCCTCCGCCGTCGCCGCCACCTCCGCCTCCGTCTCCGCCGCCAGACACGACGACTCCTCCGCCGTTGATTGTCCAGCCGTAGTTGTCCCCGTCAACGCTCCAACCTACGGTCATAAGTGACTGCGACTCGGTGCCGGTGCCGAACGGCGCGCTTACCGTTGTTGTCCCCATCAACCGTCCATCCTTGGTTCACGCTGTCCACGGAGACGTCCTGGTGAACAGGTCAAGCCAAGCCAAGGCCAGATGGGAGTTCTCAATCGAGTACATACCCGGCGCTTGCGCTCGCACGAGATCTCCTCCTCGTCCGCCATCGGCTGCGTTTTGTTTGAAATGATCAGATGGGAGAAAGAGATGCGTGATATGTGGCAGGGCTTACTGCCGGGACAGGACGCGCAACCGCGCCTGTAGCCGCAGACGTCAGTGCGACGAGTAGTACGAAGATGGGATATCGCATTGAGCGAGATGCAGCTTCGTGCGGGGACTTTAAAGCGTTTTGGACGAGGAAAAGCGGGGTTGTGCTTACGAGTGCCTATCACTGCATCGCGGAGGGTGAGTTGGGCTATCACCCCATCCTATCCGAAATCCAATACGCTATACGCGGCCAGCCAATTACTTAGTTGCGCGTCCAACAATCAGTCACGTCAGAGTCAGAGGGCGGCAGATAGCGCCCTTGGGCTTAAAGATCGGAGCTGCTTACGTAGAGCCACAACACAGTTCAGGAACGGGAAGATGTTAATACTCCAAGACGGGTAAGCAAAAAATGCTGTCTGTCATGGTAGGCGGCAGTGCAGTCCCCACATGACTCGAAGTGGCAGCGTGCAGCTTGAGGCAGAAAGCCTTCTAGTGAGGTATAAAGGGGCCTAGAAGTCAGTGTTCCTATTGTTCAGTACTCTTGAGCTAAGCAAGCTCGAGGAAGTTCGGAATAAGCCCTCGTTTGACAGCACCCAAGTGACGTGACTAGACCGTGATCGGTCCGATCACCTGTCAACCCGTCTTTGACCCGAACGACCATGTCCAAAAAGCCGCCCACCGATCTCAAGAGCGTCCTCCAGAACGAAATCAAGTTCAGCTCCATCCCATCCTCTGCCGTTCATCCGCACCAACTCACCACACCACTCGCACAGAGAGTGGCATTTCCGTGAGCCCGCCCTCCCCCGATCGATGGGCTTCCTGCGTCGAATCTGAACACACCACCCACATCGGGGCTGCTAGATATCTACTTCCATCAGGGCAACGCGGAGGAACAGCACTACGCTCTCGAGCTCCGTGATGCTGTGCTGCGGCTGCGCCGGGACGGGGCCTTCATCGCCGTGCCGCTCTTCCGCGTTAACACCGATCCTATCGGCCCGCACCCCGCCGGTAAGCACGATGTCCAACTCGAACGCGTTGAGAATCTCAACCCTGCCGGATCTTGTTCTTTTTTCTTTTGTCTATTTTGTCTTTTTGGCACGGATAGGCTCGTATGAGGTCTGGGCGCCCTCCGAGACGTTCGCGTCGCTGTTCTCGTACTTGGCGCTCCACCGCGGACCGCTGAGGTGAGCACTCTGCACCCCGGTGCACGAGGTATTAGTATCTGACTGAACGCGCGACGCCAGCATCCTCGTCCACCCGCTGACCCGTGAAGAGGTAAGCGTCTATCCCGCGTTGGAGTCCCGCTCACAGTTCTCTCCTGGCAGCTCGCGTAAGATTTCGCCAGCGCATGCTACCGATGTCGCCATTGATCCACCTTCTGTTCTGACTGATGACTGCAGAGACCATCAAATCCGAAGCGCGTGGATCGGGCCCTCTTGGCCGCTTGATCTGAGCAAGCTCCCCGTGCGGAGCGAGACGATTCCGCTGCAATACCCCAGCTTGAGTGCGTCTTGCCTTATGTGGCCCCTGCTCCACCTCCACGACCACCGCGCTGATGCGATGGTTCATTTGCACAGAGGTCGGCTACTCGTCAAACGTCCCGTTCATGAACCTGGAGGATCGCGCGATTCTGGGGGCAAACGTGGAGAAGATGCTGCTCAAGGAGAAGGACGCGGCGCGCGCGCCGGTCCCTTGAGCGTACCAGCTACTACCATCTACTCGGGGTTGACTCGAGGGCGTGGGTTTTCCGTGTTGCGAGGCTACCGCCTTCGAAATGATAACGTTTTTACGGCGTGCTCACCCGATCCGCCAGTGAAATTGAGGCTGCTCCCATCACCCAGTGAACTCAACATTTGTCACGTGATGAACGACTTTTTACTTACGTCGAGGTGAAGGCTCACGACGTGAGGCTACTTATGAGATCGACGAGACGGGTGATAATATGTTCAATTGCGCCGAACGAGGATGGCTGAACATTGAGCCAGATGCTGGATTTCGCGATGAGTTCCAGGTAGGCAATTTATCGAGGTTTCTGGGCTCCCGGTCCGGTCCATGTTACTCATACGGTCCTGAGACACTGAAATTGCTGGGAAATTAAGCAGAAGACTCGGTCGCTCTCTTTGCGACCATGGTAAACTCTGGAGAGTTTTGAATCAGCTTCACGTTGGAATCGTACGTAATGTGAAGCTCTTGGAGACCCTGCTCGGGCGAGTCTGCATCTGGGTCTAGAGCACGTCGCCGTGCTCCGACCCGCTCCGATATGCCCTGACTCCAGACGAATTGAAATCGAGAACACCCACCTATCAACGGGTGAACGAGTGATTTTCGAGCCCCACCTGCACGTTCTACAGCTGAATGGGAGTTGGGTCCGAAGAGACGATTCTAGAAATCACACTGGTATCCGAAACTTGCCCTAATCAGCAGTGTTGGGCGAATATTCTCGGGGGACTTGGTCAGCAGAGGTCCCGTCTTCGCTGCAATCTCCACCAAATGAGAAATACCGACCCGCAATACACGTTTAGGGTCTGTTGCAGATGCGGGATCGAGAGCATATATTCAATCGATAGGGCCGACTTCGTTCAACATGAGATGAACGATCTTTGCTTCTCGAGCGGTGAACCTACAGATTCGATACCGGAATTGGGTGCAATATTGCCGGCTCGCGACCATACCTGCTCTCCGCGTCTAGCTACAGCCCCCTCATGTGATCAGGAGCCTGGGCGTCTGCGGGGTGTCGATTTAAACAGCATCAATACTGCCAGTCTGCCATCACGATGGCCCGAGATGGCCGAGCCCACCTGCTGACAGCAGCAATCAGACTAAGCAATGGCAACTGTCTCGTCCTCACGACATGTCACGGGTGACTGACTGCTGGGCGTGACGTCGCGGATGAAGATACGTTTTTGACGCGACATTGGCGCGTTAGCTCGTAATTTTCTCGTCTATCTCTCTGAGCGCATTATGAATTGTCGAGTCCTGTCGAAGTACAATTTGAAGGTCATGGGCACATATGATCGCGGGCTTCCACTGTCGAACAAGGAATTCCACTGATCGTATCAACAACAACCACATGCCAGCGAATTTCGGCAGGTGTGATGATCCGGTCAGGATCGTCTTCAATCTGGCCGCTGACAGGCTTAAGCCTGTACTGCACGGACAGAACCCTTCGTCGTCTCCGCCGCGCGTCCAAAGTGCTACAACAGATTCGAGGGCTTCCGCAACACACACGAGCACAAAGTGCAGGCTGCGGCCCACATGTCGACGTCGCCTTCTTTGTCACGCGATGTACGAGAACTCGCGGCGTCCCCATCTATAAGAATCACCCGGCGGCGCATCGAGGCCCCACCCCAGCAGCTCTTCCCGGGCTCCTCTGGACGCGTATATCTCCTCGATGTCTTTCTCCAGCGCGTTGACCGTCCTCGCTGCGATTGCTGCTGTGGCTGCTGCCAAGGGACCTATGGTGTTGCATGAGAGCAGAACGACTACGCCCGTCGGATTCGTCAGCCATGGACCTGCGCCTGCTACTGACCAGCTGGAACTGCGCTTTGCATTGGCCCAGAACAACCCTGCTGGTCTTCAGAACAAGCTCATGGAGGTCTCGACGCCCGGAAACGACAACTACCGGCAGTGGCTGTCGATGGAAGACGTTCGTTTCTCGCGTCGTTATTCCAGATCACAGAAGCGTTAACTTGCTTGCTTCAGGTCAAGTCCTACATGGCGCCATCCGCAGACACCGTTGCTGCATTCAATACCTTTGCCGCAGCGCAGGGACTGCAGATTACAGGGAGCTCCCCCAACGGCGATTGGGTGACCGCGACGCTCCCCGTCTCGCAAGCCAACGAGCTCTTCGACGCCAACTTCGAGGTCTTCTCGCACCCCGAGCTCGCCGACACGATCACGCGCACGATGTCCGTGTCGCTCCCGCACGAGATCGTCGGCGTGGTGGACGTCATCCACCCCTCGACCGCGTTCGTCGAGCCGCAGCCGAGGCTCGCGCCGTCGGTGATCCAGCTGGACCTTCCGGTCCAGGCGAAGCGCGCGATCCCGGCGTCGTGCAATACCCGTGTTGCGAGCGGGGTGATGACGCCCGCGTGCCTGCAAGCGCTGTACGGCATCCCGACGGCTCCCGCCACGCAGAAGAACAACTCGATACTCATCACGGGGTACATCGATCAGTGGGCGCAGACGGCGGATTTGCAGGTGGGTGACAGTCATAGATAGTCCTTGTCCGCGGCAGGTGCAGTAACACTCTTCGCAGTCGTTCTTGAAGACCCTGCGCAAGGACATGTCTTCTTCGACGTCATTCGCCGTTCAGACCGTTGACGGAGGCGCTAATATCCAGAGTTCCGCGGATGCTGGTATCGAGGCTGACTTGGACGTCGAGTACACTATCGGTGCGTGTCAAGTTACGCTTCTATCCTTGTATTCATCTTGGGCTAGGTATCGCGACCGGCGTCCCTGCCACTTTCCTGTCTGTTGGCAATTCCGTGGAATTCCCCACTGCTTTGATCGACACCACGACATTCCTGGATGGTGTCAAGAACCCTCCATCGGTCATGACCACGTCGTACGGATCCACTGAAACCTCGTTCGGCGGCTCGTTGGCAACGTGAGTCGAGTCATGGCGGTCGATGCAACCTGACTGAAGAGCCACCAACCAGACGAATCTGCAACGGCTACATGGCACTGAGCAGTCGGGGCATCTCCGTCGTCTTCGCGTCCGGAGACGTGAGTGCCCATTCCGAGTGCTCTCCCCAATTCTAACTGTCGCAGGGCGGTGTGCGCGGCAACCACGACACGACCGACATCTGCAGCAACAACCGCTTCATGCCCGTCTTCCCCGCGGCGTGCCCGTTCGTGACGTCCGTCGGGTCGACGCAGGGCATCCCCGAGAAGGCCGTCAACTTCACCGGCGGCGGGTTCTCCAGCGTCTTCCCTGCGCCGACGTACCAGACCACCCAGGTCTCCTCCTTCCTGAAAACACTCCCGTCCAACTTCAGAGGCAACTTCACGCGCAGTGGGCGTGGGTACCCCGACGTCGCGGTCCAGGGCTGGAACTTCGAGGTCGTCATCGGGGGCCAGACGGGCCTGATCGGCGGGACCAGCGCGTCGGCGCCGACGTTCGCTGCGATGATCGCGCTCGTCAACGACCGGCTCGTCGCGGCAGGCAAGCCGGTGCTCGGCTTCCTGAACCCGTTCCTGTACAAGAACCCCGCCGCGTTCACGGATATCACGACCGGCCACAACTCGGGCTTGGTCTGTCCCGCGAGTTCGGTGGCGTTCGATGCTGCGACCGGCTGGGACGCGCTGAGTGAGTTTCCCGTGCTGCTGCTGCATCCCTGCGTTTCTCAGTATGACTGATAATGTGCTTACAGCTGGGCTGGGAACGCCCATTTTCTCCAACCTCCTCGCCGCCGCGATGGCTGCCCACTGAGAGACAGATGTACCACGATTTCATTGTACATAGATACCAGATTAATGCTTGCGGAATGAGAACAAGGCTTTTGCGTTCATTGTTGGGTTTCAAGTTGGAGCTTTGTTGCCTGCAGAGAAGCCCTCGTCTGACCTGCTCACTAGCACCGCCAACTCACATAGTCACTGTCCATGAGTCGTTTCTGCAAACACATTTGTCTGAACCCTCTGCTGGTCTGCGCAAATCCGAAAGACGTAAGGATCCAGCGCTGTTGAGAATCGGCCCTGGGATACAGCCGATTTCGCATGTCGAACGGAGAAAAAAAGGAGCGCTGCGATGCGCGGTAGCTGAACAGCACACAATGCGTGGATTTCACATCCCATCCACGCGGAACACTCTTGGCGAAAGTCCGAGGGTGGAGAGCAGTAAGCTAGCGTTGACAAGGACATACAGTAGGTCCAGACTCAACACCAGAAATGGGTAATCCAGCCAGTGAACACTTCATTAAAATTAAGCTTGTATGAGTAAAGATCGATCAAGTCAGTTACACCTTCGTAGCTCAACCCTGGACGGCTATTCCTCAAGCCATCGCCGCGGCAAGGAGGCTCGTAAAGTTGGGGGTCCCCAATCCCGCTGAGAAAGAAAAGAAACGGAACACATCAGCAGCCGCACAGACGAAACAGCAGCAACCGCAGCTCACTGAGGGGATCCCAGCCGGTCGTAGCGTCGAAACCGACGCCAGATTCAGGGCACACGGCGCCCGAGTTATGTCCCGCGGTGACATCGTTGAACGCGCCCGGATTGGCGTACAGGAACGGGTTCAAGAAGCCAAGCACGGGTTTGCCCGCAGCGATGAGCCGGTCGTTGATCAGTGCGATGATAGATGCGAATGTCGGTGCCGACGCGCTCGTGCCGCTCTCTAGAGTGGTGATGCCGTTGTTGATGATCTGGAAGTTCCAGCCTTGGGTGGAGACGTCGGGGAACCCACGCCCGGTGAGGTTGAACATGGCGTTGAAGTCAGACGGGACGGTCTTAAGGAAGGAAGCAATCTGGGCGGTCTGGTACGCCGGCGCCGGGAAGATGTTGGAGAACCCGCCGCTCGAGAAGTTGGCGGCTCTCTCCGGGATGCCGAATGTCGAACCGACGGCAGTCAGGAATGGACAGGTCGAGGGAAACGCCGGGGTCAGTGCCTCATTGTCGCAGACACTCGAATCGTCGTGACCACCATGCACTCCGCCCTGAGAGGGTACTGTAAGCGCCAGAGCACTGAACACGAAAGACGAATAACAACTCACGTCTCCCGCGGCAAAAATGACGGAGACGCCCCGGGCGGCCAGTGCCATGTAGGCATCGCAGATAGCGCTGGAAGCAGATATCCATGAGGACTCGCCATCATGAGTATACAGAAATGGACGCACTTGGCAACCGCAGGATCGACGGTCGGTTCGTCCAAGGTGTACGAAGTGGTCATGACCGACGGGGGATTGCTGACGCCTTGCAGGTAGGTCGCCGTGTGGATGAAAGCGCCGAAGATGTCCGTGTCGTTGCCATTCGAGAGGAAAATCGTGGGCACGCCAGTCGCTACACCTGGATCCGAGTCAGAACACGGCAAAGGCCGTAGTCAGAATGCAAGTGACGGACCGACGGTGTATTGGATGTCCAAGCTCGCCTCGAAGCCAGCCAAGTCAGGCCCCTGCGGGTTGTCTCCGCCATCGACCGACTCCAGGCTGAACCCCGTCGATGAATGCATGTCCGGACGGAGTTGTTCCAAGAACGCCTGGAGCAGTCCGTCAGGCTCGGAAAGTCCCCCCGTGCGGTCCACTCACCTGCAAATCGGCTTTCTGCGCATGCTGGGTGACATACCCCGTCACCAGTAGCGAGTTGTTGGCTTGAGTGGCCGGGGTAGCCGGGATGCCGTGCACTGCCTGCAAGCATGCGGGGGTCGTCACTCCATTCGGTTCGCTGGTGTTGCACGATGCAGCGATGCCGCGCTTGAGCTTGGGCACCGGGATCTGGATCAGCGACGGCGCGTTTTTGAACGGGGGCGGCGCGAAGGCCGTCGAGGGATGGACCACGTTCACGACGCCCACCATCTCGCTTGGGAGAGAAACGGACATCGTGCGCGCGATCTTGCCATCTAGGTCGGGGTGCGAGAACAGCTCGAAGTTGGCATCGAACATCTCGTTGGCCTTGGCCACAGGGACCGTGGCGGTGATCCACTCTCCGTAAGGTGAAACCTTGGTCGTGTTCAACCCATGGGCGGACGCGAAGGAGTTGAAAGCCGACAAGGTCGCCGACGAAGGCGCCATATAAGTCTTGACCTGCATATGCTCAGTAAACCCAGCACCCAGCACCAAAATACACAGAACAGAACGAACCTCCTCCTTCGAGAGCCACTGACGGAAGTTGGCGCTTCCAGGTGTCGAGACCTCCATCAGCTTGGCCTGCAGCCCCTTGACGTCGTTGCCCGCAAGACCGAATCGCAGTTCCAGCTCGTGGGTCGCTGGAGCCGGACCGTGGCTGACGAAACCAGCAGGAACAGTGGCCAGGCTATCGTGCAGCACCATGGCACTTTTAGCCGCCGCAACGGCAGCGACAGTGAGAACGGTCAAAGTTTTGCTGAAAGCCATCGAGAAAGTGCGCGCGCAGAGAGAAAGACAGAGAGAATGCGCGTGTAATAAGAGGGAGAATGCGCCGTGAAGAAAGAAATGCGAAAAGTGGGCTTGGGTAAAGAGAGAGAGGTACTCAAAAGAGCTGGCCTCGACTCGATGTAGGTGACTTCATCCACAGATTATCGCGTCCCTTTATACTCATCCCGTGGCAGGTTTTGGAGACGTCGCCTAGAGCGAGGACATGTGGTACAAAAAGATCGTGGAGAGCGTCTCCGTATTCCAGTCACACTCCGGCACAGGCGCCCGCATGAGAGAGCCCGGCGTATCGCCACAGCCTCCGTCGACATGAACTGTTACTCCTGACGTCTTCCATCAAATTCTGTAAATCCAAGATTTCCATTCGTGGTCAGGCAGTGCCGTACTTAGGGTGGTAAACACGGTGAATCCCCAGCCCCGGGGTCCGATGTCGCATGGATCTGCGTGGCTAGCGAGAGCTTCTGCAAGCTTGCACTGCCATGTAAAGGTGTGTGTGTAGCCGACCGCGACAGCTCCAATTGCTTCAACCGCTCGGTATGTTCCCGAAAAAGTCCAAGTAACGGCCGGGAAGAGTACTTAGTGGCGAGGTGGAGGAGGTCACGATCAAAGCTAGCCACGTGATCGAAATGCCAAAAAAGGCGATCATACGGACCCTCAACGAGCGAAGGGCAAATCAAGCGGAGGAAAAGCACACAACATATTTAGTATCCTCTACGTGACAGGCCTGTTGTTGGCTGAGATAATTCTCAAGCATGTGACAGGAAAGACTAGAACCACTTTTCACACATGGATGATGACGGCTCCTTTGATGTGACACACTCGCTTTGACCCCTAATCGTTTAGGGGAGCGAAGTGCATCCTCCGGTTCATCTCCTTGGTGCTTTCTGGAAGTCGAGGTGACTGGAAACGGTCAATCTCTTCAACTCGGGTGGGTTCTTTTGCAAGGTGCTGCTTCACAGATGAGGGTACGGCAAATTCCGCAATCGAGATGTCAATGAGAGAGTGTCATTTCAGCGGATGGGTCATCACACATGCGTAAGTGGCCTAATTGTTCGAAAATTATTGCAACGTGAGCGACACATTGCAACAGGTCTAGGGCCTAGAATCTTTCATTTTCCGTGATATTTTATCGATTTGAACTCCCTCCCCACTTGGTCGTCAAGAGCCTGTGTGCGATCGCTTTCTCTGGCATTTTACTTGAAAGATATCTTGTTCTTCAGATCACGCCGGGATAAATCATCATTAGCTCACCCTCGCTTGTGGCCAAGGGCTTATGTGTCATTCCTAGGTAGACCCCACCCGCTCCCCTCGCTAGCTCTGGCCGGGGTCCTGACCTGTATAATATCGTAGTACACACACAGGACTACGCATTTTCGCGATCTCGCCGCTGACCACTAGATCCGATCGACCTCCAGAGGCTGTCAGCTCGCACGTGTAAAGATCTGCACATGTACGCCGGAATCCGATGGACTGACAGACGATGAGTCGATCTGAGTAAGTAGTCGAAAGACACATATTTTGCATGGATGATAGATGGTTATTATAGGGGCCAGACCGCGCTGCTCCCCGTTGCCCGCTCGGATGCGTAAATGGAATACCAGGGAGTACCCCAAGCCAAACGTCGAGCGCCCGGAACTTGTTTACGCCCGATTCCAAAATGCGACTTCCCAACGGCCTTCCAAAGCGACCGGTGGCCAGTCGATGGTCGATGATGTCCGATCAATTGAACTACATGAGCAAACGTGAGACAGACATTTCATAACTTCGCGCAAAGAGCCGGCTGTGAACCTGCGTTCTTCCCATTATCCACGTGCAGTCGCTCTGGACTCACGGGAAAGCAAAGATGTGACAGGTCGCCTGATGAGTAGGAGTTGGGGGATGACCAAGACGGTGAGGTGATTTCACACATATCTCGATCAATCAACACTACATACAGTGGAATCAAGTTCTCAGATATTGCACCAGTCGACCATGCGCTCGTAACCTCATCCTGCGCCACGCTCACTCAGGCCATCGCCGCGGCAAGGAGGCTCGTGAAATTGGGAGTTCCCAGTCCCGCTAGGAAAGGCAAACGCATTACATCAGCAACCGTACACGGGCCAGAAACATAGGCGACCGCGACTCACTGAGGGGATCCCACCCGGTTGTAGCGTCGAACCCGACACCGGATTCAGGGCACACGAAGCCAGAGTTGTGGCCGACGGTGATATCATTGAACGCGTCCGGATTGGCGTACAGGAACGGGTTCAGGAAGCCGAGCACGGGCTTGCCCGCAGCGATGAGCCGGTCGTTGATCAGCGCGATGATCGACGCGAACGTGGGTGAGGCGGCGCTCGTGCCACCCACCGAAGTAGGGACACGGTTGACGATGACCTCGAAGTTCCAGCCCTGGGTCGAGACATCGGGGAATCCGCGCCCGGTGAGGTTGAACGTGGCGTTGAAGTCAGACGGGACCGTCTTGAGGAAAGAGGCGATCTGGGCGGTCTGGTAGGCCGGCGCCGGGAAGATGTTGGAGAACCCGCCGCTCGTGAAGTTGATGGCTTTCTCCGGAATACCCTGCGTTGCCCCGACGGAGGTCAGGAACGGACAGCCCGAGGGGAATGTCGGGGCGAGAGCCGCGTTGTTGCAGACACTCGAATCGTCGTGACCGCCACGTACTCCACCCTGGGAAGGTCAGCCGGGCAAGAGCACTAGACACGGGAGAAAACCTCACGTCTCCCGAAGCGAAAAGAACAGACACGCCCCGAGCGGACAGCGCCATGTAGGCGTCGCATATAGAGCTGCAATATCACCCATGAGAACTCCCAGTCATGGGGTGTATGCAATAACTACGCACTTTGCAAGAGCGGGATCCGCGGTGGATTCGTCCACTCCGTACGATGTTGTTATCACCGAGGGAGGATTGGTGGCGTTTTGGAGGTAAGTCGCCGTTGAGAGGAAAGCACTGAAGATGTCGTCCAAGTCTCCATTCCCGAAGTAAGTTGTCGGCACATCAGTGGCCACACCTGACACTGATTGAGCACGCGAAACGGATGGTGAGGAGATCGCCGCTGACGGACCAACGGTGTATTGCATGTCCAGGCTGGCTTCCACACCACCGAAGCCATCTCCTTGCGCATCGAGGCCTCCATTGATGGTCTCAACACCATAGGTCGTGGACGACGACATGTCCGGGCGCAGTTGTTGCAAGAATAACTGGATCAATCCAGTCAGGCTGCGGGAATGCCACCGCAAAGTACTCCGCTCACCTGCAGGTCGGCCGTCTGCGCAAATTCGAGTCCATACGCCGTCACGAAAATCGTGCCATCGGGCTGAGTGGCCGGGGTGGCCGGGATGCCGTACAACTCTTGCAGGCATGTCGGGGTGGTGATCCCACTCGGATCGCTGGTGTTGCACGATGCCGAGACGTCACGTTTCAGCGTGGACAGCGGGGTCTGGATCAGCGGTGGGGCGATTTTGGACGGGGGCGGGGCGAAGGCCGTCGAGGGATGAATCACGTTCACGACGCCCACCATCTCGTTCGGAAGAGAAACGGACATCGTGCGCGCGATCTTGCCATCTAGGTCGGGGTGCGAGAACAGCTCGAAGTTGGCATCGAACAGCTCGTTGGCCTTGGAAACGGGGATGGTGACGGTGACCCAATCTCCGGATGGTGAGAACTGAGTCGCGTTCAACCCATGGGCGGACGCAAAGGCGTTGAAAGCCGACAAGGTCGCCGCAGAGGGCGCCATGTGAGCCTTGACCTGCATGTACTCAGTCCACCCAGCACTTGGCGCCTAAATACACGGGACGAACCTCCTCCTTCGACAACCACTGACGGAAGTTGGCGCTTCCAGGTGTCGAGACGTCCATCAGCTTGGCCTGCAGTCCCTTCACGTCGTTTCCCGCGAGACCGAAACGCAGCTCCAATTCCTGAGCCGCTGGAGCCGGCCCGTGGTTGACGAAGCCAGCAGGGATGGTGGCCCGACTGTCCTGCAGCACCATGGCACTTTTAGCCGCCGCGACGGCAGCCACAGCGAGCACGGTCAGAGTTCTGCTGAAAGCCATTGGGAAGACGAGAAAGGCCTTGGAGGGGCTGGCGATCCGGAATCCTGGCGTTGCATTTATACGCAATCCGCTGCAGAGATTGAAGTGCCGGCTGGATCGAAGGTGTGTGACAGGCTGGGGTAGTGAAGAGCGCTTCACGTTCCAACCGTCATGTTCGCCCGTATGAAGGGGGACAAGATACTCCCTCCCCCAGGACCTCGGTCGATATTGCGACGAAGATCATCTTTCAAACGCATCCTCCATGCTTCTTCCATCAAATTAACCTCAAGAGTCTCGTTCGCGTCGTAGGGGGCCGTGGCGAATGCCCCATCGTCAAGAGCCGGGATCGCATGGAGCCGTCGGACGGCTGACGGGATCTTCTGCAAGCATGCGTTGTCCTGGGACCTGGAGAGATGAACAGCAGTACGCAGTGTCCTGCCAAGGGACACGCACCAAAGAGAGGAGAGACTAGTGCAGATCACCGCTCAGGGCATCTACGACCATGCCATGCGCTCCAGAATCACGAAGGGTACGGAATAGAAAATGGAACCATCTCGTTTCAGGCCGCCGGTAGAATATGTACCGTTGAGCATCGCTTCGGTCCTCCAGTCGGGTTATCCCTAGGCCAAGGCCTCTAAGGCTGCTTTGCTGGCGGAGCAATCAATTCCATGCTCGTGGTAGGTCAGAGAGTCGAAGAGCAGAGAACCCTGCCCTCCGCAGGTCCCCAGTCCTCACCCATCCTTTCGATTGCTTTGGTGCGTCATGGTGAGTTCGGGTAGTTGTAGGTAAGGCCCTGGGAGGCCGATAGGTAGGCAGATAGATTACCGACCCCGGTCCCAATGAGGAACAGCCGAGGCGCAGTGAACTGTGGTTTAGTCATTCGTGATGTTCACTCCTGACATAAATCCGTCATCAACACTTACACTTTCGTGATCTGAGCCTGTTCCCAATTGGTCAACGGACGAATTGCTGGCCGTCGCTCTCGCTTCTGGAGGCGAGAGTCTGGAGGCGATTGCGACGCAGTTGTCGAGTCCAGTGCTGCTGCTGCCGGGAATATGTCAGGTTGGCCCGTCCGATTTCGTCATTGAATCGATGCGACCGGTAAAATCTCCCTGCTTTTTTGGCTCGCGCTGTGTGCCTGTCAATTTCAACCGAAGTAATCTGATACATGTTCTGAACCTTCTTATCTGATGGACCCGTCCGCATATCTGATTGTCGGACTACGCCATGGAAAACGAGAGCAGCGTGACCATTTGAAATTGATTTAGAACCAGTCCAGATCATATAACTGTAAGCATGGATGACTGGATCAGAGAATATACATCCCGAATGACTAAAGCCCCGCTTTGCTGCAGATAGGCGCTGTAAGACCTTGACCGAAAGGTGCCGGGGATGAGCACATCCCACGCTCAGGAGTCCATGGCAGCCCGGAGTAGGCGGTGGAAGTTGGGCGTGCCTAGTCCAGCTGTGATCGCGTCAGCACACACGCCCGCACATCCTCGGCAACCAACTCACTCAACGGGTCCCAACCACGCGCAGCATCGAAAGCGACAGACGTCTCGGGGCAAACGAAGCCCGAGTTGTGCCCGACGGTGATGTCACTGAAGACCCCGGGGTGGGCGTAAAGGAACGGGTTCAGGAACCCGAGCACGGGCTTGCCCGCCGCGAGGAGGCGGTCGTTGATGAGCGCGATCATGGCCGCGAAGGTGGGCGCGGCCGCGCTGGTGCCACCCGTGAACGTAGTGCCGCCGGTCTGCACGATCTGGAAATTGACGCCCTGGACGGACACATCCGGGAACCCGCGCCCCCTGTGGTTGAAGGTGCCCTTGAAGTCGGATGGGACGGTCTTGAGGAAGGACTTGACGTGAGCCGATTGGTACCCAGGCGCAGCGAAGATGTCGGAGAAGCCACCGGATGTGAAGTTGCTCGATTTCTCGGGGAAACCTTGTGTTGCACCGACAGAGGTGACGAATGGGCACCCGGACGGGAATGTGGCGGCAAACTTATTGACATCACACTGGCTGGGGTCATCGTGACCGCCACGAACACCGCCCTAGGAGGATCAGCTTAGGATATTCCCAAGAACTGCAAGAGGACTTTTGTACATCGCCTGAAGCAAAGATGACAGAGACGCCCCGCGCGCTGAGTGCCATGTACGTGTTGCAGATGGCGCTGCAGAGAGGTTCAGTTCCAGATTGAGGGCTCCAAGCGTACGAATCCACGCACCTGGCCATGGAGCGGTCTGTGCTCGATTCATCCACGCCGTACGAAGTACTGAGCACCGTGGGTGGAGTGCTGGCACCATCGACAAAATTCGCTGTGTCGAGCAATGCACCAAGGAAATCATACCCTCCCACAGACAGAAAAGCGGTGGGAACCCCATTAGCCACACCTGTTTCCAGTATCAGCTCGTGTGATGGACTGTAAAGGCCGCATTGGCCATACACTCGCCTATTGCATACTGCATGTCCAACTCCGCTTCAAGACCGCCTCCACCGCCCAGGAAGATACCCTGTGGGTTATCCCCTCCATCCAGCGTCTGCAGTGCAAAGTCTGTGGTCAGCGGCATATCTGGCCGCATCTCTTGCAAGAAGGCCTAGAAGTGGGACCCATGTCAGCAGATGAGACGCAGATTCACACCCAACGAACCACTCGCTTTCAAATTCGCTTTCTGAGCCCACTGGAAGCCATACCCCGTGACGGTCAGCGAGTTGTTGGCCTGCGTCGCCGGGGACGCCGGGATACCATAGATGTCGAGCAAGCACTGGGGGGTGATAATGCCGCTAGAGTTGCTGGTGTTGCACGAAGCTGCGACGTGCGACTTGCCCTTGCGCACGTCCATCTGGACCATCGGTGGCCGCACAGATCTGGAAGTCGCTGGGGGCAGGGCGAATGCTGTCGTAGGATGGATGACATTCACGACGCCCACCATCTCGCTTGGAAGAGAAACAGACATCGTGCGCGCGATCTTGCCGCTGAGGCTGGGGTGCGAGAACAGCTCGAAAGTCGCGTTGAAGAGCTTGTTGGCCGTGGCAACAGAGACGGTGGCCGAGACCCAGTCCTCGTTGGGAGAAATATGCGTTGTGTTTAGTCCATGCGCAGAAGCAAACGCCATGAATGCTGACACAGTCGCCGCCGACGGCGCCATGTGCACTCTAACCTAGATATCAAAGCGAATGCTCAGGATTTCACCTTTTGCCGGCGCAGATAAACGCACCTCTTCCTTCGAGAGCCACTGGCGGAATCGGGCGCTTCCGGGCGTGGCAATGTCCGTCAACTTGGCTTCCAGTCCAGCGGCATCGTTCGGCGCAAGTCCGAAACGCAATTCCAGCGCGTGCGAGGGTGGAGCCGGACCGTGGCGCACGAAGCCAGACGGGATGATCGTCCTGCGCTCGTGCAGGACCATCGCATTGACGGCACCCGCGGCGGCGAGCACGACGAGAAGCGTCTTCAGAGCGAGGCGGAGCGCCATAAGGAAGGTCCGTGCGTCGAGAGAACCGGTTAGAGCTCCATCGAGCTCGTTGGGTAGAATATATACGCGTGCGCTCTTGGCTCAAGCGCAGGACATGTGCCCAGGGATACGGGGCAGAATGTTCCAGGCAGGTTCTTTGCGACTGAATGAGGTGGGACCAGTCAGCAATGTGTAGTCACCTATCGACCCTGCGCTGAGCAGCGCTTCCGTCGATACCTTATCTGGGAGCAGCCCATCAGCTCTTCTTCCATCAAACGAAGAGCAAGGTAGGATGTTCGCCGCAGGTCAGGTGTTGGGAGGTGCCCGGGGCAAAGCGAGCCTTCCCAGTTTACGTGCCCGAGTTCATCGTCCCTCTGTCTCCCAGTCTAACCTGGGTCCTCCTTCAGCTCCAGAATGAACACACACACACACACTTGACAAGTGCGATACCCTTCCTGCTCTCGAACCCATACTACACGGGGAATATAACCCGTTTATGTAGATCCCGAGAGGTCCCTCTGATAAGTGCGCATGCAATCGCAGAACGCATGATTAGAAAATGCGTGTCGCTGACTGATCTGTTGGCAAGTACCGCGCATCTGGTACCATGAAGGTCGACCCACCTGTCCCAGACGAGGCGGAAGATATGACCTCTATTTTCGACATCCAGCTCGAAATTTGAGCGCTTATTCAGAGCATGGAAGCCCTTGGTGTCTTAGTGCCTCGAAGCGTCGGTGACAGTTGGAGAGAGAGTCGCGGGCCGGACAAGCCCGATCATGATTGATGCTAGTAGCCCGATAAGATACAGTAAACGACGATCTCTACTTTGATCGAGGGAGCACTCACTTGCAAACAATGGCCTACAATAACCGTCCTTTTCTGCTAGCGTAAATGCGACGTACTCTGTGAGCCTGGGAAAATCCCCAATATTCAACGGGCTGAGAGACTCTGAAGTTGAGGAACACCGCGATACGTTGATGATCGGGGAAATCGAAGTCAGACTTCGATACTTCGGAAAGCTGCCGTTGATGCAGTGAGTCAATTCATGTGCGGGGATCTGCGTTCAGAATCCAGATGTCAGAATTTCGCCCTTCTCCAGCTTTATAAATAGCCAGATAGATCGTCGTCCTCGCCGTCGGGCTGATTTCAATTGCCTGCTCCGATCGATAAACAGGCTATAGCAGGCTCAATCCTTCAGCTCCGAATTTGCTCCCAATAAGTAGGCTCTCAAACTCAGAATTTTGACTTCCAAGTGGCCTCTCAGTACAAGTGATGATAAGAATATAATCGATAAGCAAAGGTTCATCGATCATCGTGGAGTTAAGCAAGCGTGGGAAATCAAATTCCCGGATTACGCCGCATCCCAACTCGCTCTCTTCCCAGTGTCCATACAGAGTTGGCACGCACCATGAGGTCACCTAGGCCCGCTAGCGCTCCCGGGTACGGAAGGCTGTTTCCCGACTCACACGATCAGATGCTCCCAGGCCGAGCTGTGCTTCCAACGCGCTGAGAGAAGCCACAGCCATGCGATAACCAGTGAGTCTTGTCCATGCCGTGGGCGAAGCGCTGATAAGGAAGGCGTGCGTTAGGATTCTCTTACCCACGTATAGCTTGGGTAATCGCTGCGGACGCTCTCTCACTCGCATGTCGCCATCTGTGCCTCACGAGGGTCAGCAGCTCGTGTGCCACCTATAATAAGCCGTGGTACGAACGGTGCATCCCAGCAGCTCTACCGGGGCCTCTCTGGACGCGTGCACTCTCTAGATGGCTTTCACCCAAGCGTTGACCATCCTTGTTGCGATTGCGGCGGCGGCTGCCAAGGGACTGACTGTACTGCACGAGAGCAGGACCTCCATCCCTGCCGGATTCGTCAGCCATGGACCTGCCCCCGCTGCTGACCAGCTGGAGCTGCGTTTCGGTCTGGCTCCCAACAACGCTGCTGGCCTCCAGGCCAAGCTTATGGAGCTCTCGACGCCAGGGAACGAGAACTTCCGCCAGTGGCTGACGATGGAAGAGGTTCGCTACCGCCGTCAATGGTTTGAATATCTGGAGCGCTGACTGGATTGCCTAGGTCAAGTCCTTCATGGAGCCATCTGCTGCAACTGTTGCTGCGTTCAATGCCTTCGCCACGGCGAACGGACTGAAGACGACGGCGATCTCACCCAACGGCGACTGGGTGACCGCGACGCTCCCCGTCTCGCACGCCAACGACCTCTTCAACGCCAACTTCGAGCTCTTCTCTCATCCCCAGCTGACCGAGAAGATCACGCGCACGATGTCCGTGTCGCTCCCGAGCGAGATGGTCGGCGTGGTGGATGTCATCCACCCCTCGACGGCGTTCGTCGAGCCCCAGCCCAGACTCGCGCCGTCGCCGATCCAGATGAACGTGCCCCAGGCGAAGCGGGCCGCCCCGGCGTCGTGCAACACGAATGTCGCCACCGGGGTCATCACCCCGGCGTGCCTGCAGGCTCTGTACGGCATCCCCGCGACTCCCGCCACGCAGAAGAACAGCTCGATACTCATCACGGGATACGTCGATCAGTTCGCAGAAACCGCGGATTTGCAGGTGAGAATGAGCGACCGCTACGTCCATGCTCTTGATTGCTGATACTCTGCCAGTCGTTCTTGAAGACCCTGCGAACGGACATCTCTTCCTCGACGACGTTCAAACTCCAGACTCTTGATGGAGGATCCAACCCGCAGGGCTCCGGGGAGGCTGGTGACGAAGCCGATCTGGATATCGAGTACACTGTCGGTGAGTCTCGAGTTGTTCTTATCCTCGATTCATGCTCACCTGAGGCCAGGTATCGCTACCGGCGTCCCTGCGACCTTCTTGTCTGTCGGAAACGCCGACTTCTCGACGGCGCTGCTCGATACCACAACCTTCCTTGACGGTGTCGCCAGCCCTCCCACGGTCATGACCACATCGTACGGGTCCACTGAATCCTCGTTCGGCAGCTCGTTGGCAACGTGAGTTGTTTCATGGCAGCTGTGTAGTGCAATCTGACTGAGGAGTCATAATCAGACGAATCTGCAATGGTTATATGGCACTCGGCACCCGCGGAATCTCTGTCATCTTTGCATCCGGTGATGTGAGTGCTCATTTTGAGTGCTCTTCTCGATTCTGATTGTGTCAGGGCGGTGTGCGAGGCAACCACGACACGACCAGCGTCTGCAACAACAACCGCTTCATGCCAGTGTTCCCGGCGGCGTGTCCGTTCCTGACGTCCGTCGGCTCGACGCAAGGTATCCCCGAGAAAGCGATCAACTTTACCGGCGGTGGATTCTCGAGCGTCTTCACCGCCCCATCGTACCAGACCACGCAAGTGGCCACCTTCCTGAAGACTGTCCCGTCGACTTTCAAGGGCACCTTCACCCGCACCGGGCGTGGATACCCTGACGTTGCGCTCCAGGGCTGGAACTTCGAGGTGATCATCGGGGGTGTGGCGAACCTGATCGGCGGAACCAGCGCGTCGTCCCCGACGTTCGCTGGCATCATCGCGCTGATCAACGACCGCCTCATCGCCGCAGGCAAACCCGTGCTCGGATTCCTGAACCCTTTCCTGTATGCCAACCCCGGCGCGTTCACGGATATCACGACTGGCCACAACTCGGGCTTCGTATGCCCTGCTGCCTCGGTTGCATTTGACGCCACGACTGGCTGGGACCCGCTGAGTGAGTGAAAGCTGCTTAGCCGATCGATTTCGGAGACTGATGACCTCACAGCTGGACTGGGAACACCCATTTTCTCCAATCTGCTGGCAGCCGCGTTGGCCGCTTGAGTTGTAGCTGTACCATCATGATAATGAACAATGTATTCGGGTTTCAGACGAGAATAACACTTTTGTGCCATTGCTGTTGAGTGCGGCCTGTCAGATGGACCTTGCCCTTTGCTTCTGATCCTATTGTATTCGGCTTTCCTCCCTCGAGGGCGCGATTATTCTTCAGGAAATACTCCTTCGAGGTCTCGCAGGAGGCTTGTACAGCTGAAGGACCTTCATGGGGATATGGTGACGAGATGTGAAGTGGAGTCCATGATCCATGGGTGAATTCAAGTTGAGAATGCCCTGAGAGCGCACTCTCGTGTTCAGAGTCGGCAGAGGTGCAGGATGTTGGCCTACGCACAGTGTGCACTCATATTGCGCCGAAGACAAAAAGGAAAGCTGCTGGATTTAAAGTCCAGTCCATGTCCGCGTCATCAGCGCGTGGGAGCACGTGTGAGCAAACCCATCACGACCACGAGGTTTGGTTTTTCCGCCTTTGGACCCCGTAGCTGTTTCTCTGGCTCCATGTCCTCGTACAAGTCTAAGATCACCCGGAAACCCCCTCCACGCGTAACGACCCCCGAGCCGAGTCTCCAATACGCCGCCGTTCCCTTGGGCTCGCCACCACAAAGCCCCGGCAGTCCCCCCGCGCGGAGTCGCACTCGACGCACGCCAGCATCATCACGTGCACCCACAGGCTTCGGAGTCGCACTCAGCGATGCAGAACGACCGGCGCAAGCCCGGGGCACGGGGAGGGCGGGGGCGGCGCTCGTGCGCGGCGTAGCGTCGGGATCCATCGGGGCAGATTTCGGGCCGTATTCGGTGCGTGTGTGCACTGCGCGCGCTCGCAACGCGTTCCCCCGCGCATCCTTCGCTCACCTTGCGTTAGTTCGACCCCGAGATCAACCGGAGCAATCCCGGGGAGGGGACGCGTCTGCGCAAGGCGCCGTCCACGGTCCGCCCGAATCTCACGCGCACGACGACCGTGAACACGCGTTTCGAGAAGAACCTGGACCTCGACGATGCGCTGCACAACCCCGATCCCGTGGCCGATGCGCGGATGGAGCACGAGCTGTACTTCTTTTCCGCGCGCGGCTGGGCCACTGTGACAGCGCTGTTCGTGCTGTTTGGTGGGCTCGTGACCCTCTTTGCAGGGTTCCCCCTGATATACTACTTTGGCCACCCACCACGGAAATTCGTGGGCTACAACATTGGGGGCATCAACGCGTCGGGGCAGGTTCCCGAACTTACCAAGTTCCCGAGCTTGATCGACTCGGAAACGCCTTCCAACGCCTATACGCATACAGGGACGGACGGGAAAAAGTACAGACTCGCGTTCAGCGACGAATTCAATACTGATGGGCGGACGTTCTTCCCCGGCGACGATCCCTACTGGGAAGGTGAGCTGCCTCCACTATGCTTATCTGATCTCAGCTGAGTCGCCTGCAGCGGTCGATTTCCATTATTGGCCTACGGGAGATCTGGAGTGGTACGACCCGGCGGTGCGTAGTGGCATATGCCCACTTGTGATCGTGTTCCAATGCGCTCCACAGGCCATTACCACGCAGGACGGCAAGCTGGTGATCACGATGAGCGAGGTGAACTACACCGACAACCATGGGCTGAACTTTATGAGCGGTGACCCATTTACCATCTTTGCATCATGCGCGTGGGTCCTGATACCTTACAAGGGATGCTCCAATCCTGGAACAAGATCTGCATGACCACAGCCTATGTCGAGGTCTCGCTCAGCCTTCCCGGTGCTCCGGATCAGCCAGGTTTCTGGCCCGGTGCGTGGCTCATGGGGAATCTCGGCCGCGCTGGCTATGGCGCAACAACCGAGGGAATGTGGCCATACAGCTACGACTCATGCGATACGGGCACGTTCCCGAATCAGACGACCAAGGACAACCAGCCCTCTGCGTCGTTCGACTCGCATCTGAGTTTCCTTCCTGGGCAGCGGCTATCAGCATGCACCTGCCCAGGCTCTGACCACCCGGGCCCTGCTGTTACCAAGGGCAGAGGCGTGCCGGAGATTGACCTGCTCGAGGCGCAGATTGAGATCCTTGGCAGTGCGCCGTACTTCCAGGGGCAGGCGTCGCAGAGCTTCCAAGTCGCGCCGTACAACCTCAACCGCCTGTTCGACAACTCGAGCCAGGCCACGCCCATCGTCAACTCCAGCATGACGCAGTTCAACAACTACCACGGGAACCAGTACCAGCAGACAGTGTCGGCGTTGACGTACATTGACGCGCAGTATTATGGCGGGAACGCTTACCAGACTTACGGACTCGAGTGGTACTCGAATCCGGCGAAGCGATCGAGTGGATACCTTAACTGGCTGACGACTGGAGAGAAGCGATGGACGATGACGGCTGCTTCTGTTGGTGCAGACAGCGGTGCGAACGTCTCTGCGCGGCTGATCCCAGAAGAACCAATGGCACGTCGAGGCGCATCTCGCATCTGCCAGCCACTGATGACCGTTTGCAGTACATGATTTTCAATCTGGGGATGTCCCCGTCGTTCCAGGGACAGGACTTCCTGCATATGGTGTTCCCCGCCAAGATGTTCATCGACTATGTGCGGGTGTACCAGCTGGAGGGCACCCAAGATGGGCTGACGTGCGACCCGCCAAAATACCCGACGGCGGATTACATCGCGAGGTGGGTGCTTGCTGGTTGGCTGGCTGTCGAGGAGCTTCCGCTGACAGCGCGTTGCAGCCACATTGCTGCATACTCCAATGCGAATCTCACGACCTGGGCGCAAGCCGGATACACCTTCCCACGAAACAGTCTCTACGATGGCTGCTGACGCGCCGATCCCACAACGCATCCAGGATTTACGACCACTGAATGATTACTACTAGACCTACTGTATCTAGGCACGGATGGACAATATATACACATCCGCACATATACTGTATGTATCTGTATCGGCTCACGAATCTGCATTCCATTAGCACCCACTGTCCTGCTGCCCAAGTCAGCTGTTCAACCTTGTTGTACACGCGTCCCGCTGTCTCGTCAGTCGCAGCCTGTCGATGGTGTGTTGTTCAGAAATCAGAACATTACATATTTTTGTTGCAGACACATATGCTGCTGAAGACGCGCGCCAAGTCGTAACAATTCAAAAAAAGAAGAAAGAAAAAATGAGGCCGGATGTGGCGGCAACACTGCCTTCCGAGTCCACAGGTCGCGGAATCTGGCGCGGAAGAAGAGGTAACAAAATTTTTACTAATTCAGTGAGCCCCGAGGACGCCCGTGGCGGTACTACAAGGTAACTCGGTTCAATTCAAGGCACCGAGGTTGGGAAGCTTTGAAGTTGAGCATGGCTGAAACGGCTGGTCTTCTTTGCCGGATGTCCGGGGGGTCCGGCGGGCGGGCCGGCTCATCCCGAGGGACAAGACTCTCAAGTGCTCCAACGGGTATCCAGTCCCCATGGCGCTCCATTGACGCATTCACGTCGCAAGCTTCTTGAACCGTCCCCCCGAATAATTGTGTCCTTTGTCTGCCTCCCGTCGCGCGCTATCGAGATCACCGCGCACGCCGCAGACAGCACGACTCAATGGCTGACCGCCTCGATGCGATTCCAGCGCAGCCCCATGCATCTGGTGGCCCCGGCGCGCCAAGTATGTTATGTAAAGCGTTGCGTGTTCGGCCGGGGTACCTGAGGGACTTATTCGCGCAACACGCACTATGTCCCACACTAGCGGGATCAGCGAGCGAACACAACTCCTTTGTCTCCCATCCGGGGCGTGCATCTAGTGGGTCCGATGGCGAGCTTACCATGTGGGGCGGGGCTGTATCTCCCTGTATCTCCTCCGACGTTTAATGTTCCTGGCCTTGACCTTGTGTGCTCATATGTGGTGTGTTACGAGTGACGGCGTGGCACCGCTCGGGGAGGATTTTCTGGGGATCGACCCGCGTACATATAAGAAGCTTGCTTGCGCGGGGTGGTGCACACACATACCCGCTCCTTCTCGGGCTCCTTCCGGTGCATACACTCAGCCAGGTACGTGGCTGGTCCGTGGCTGCCTTGCACCGATGCTGACCAGCTTCTTCTTCTCTTCCTTCTCCTTCCCCAGATTCGCCGCGATGTCGACCACATGTGAGAAAGCCTCGTCGGACTCGCTGGCCAAAATACGCGACCTCCCATTCGCGAATTCGTCAGAGGCGATGGCGCGTCTGCCCACTGCCGAGGAGCAGAGTGTGTGCGATGCATGCCCCCACGCGTGACCAGCTCTAACTCTCTCTGCCTGCACAGATACACTCCGCCGCGTGGCTGGCCGGATCCCGTGGGCAGCGTACCTGATCTGCCTGGTAGAGTTCGCGGAACGGGCTTCGTACTACGGATGCGCGGGAGTCTTCGCCAACTTCATCCAACGGCCACTTCCCGAAGGCGGCAACGGAGCCGGCGCCCCACCTAGAGGGACACAGGAGACTGCCGGTGCGCCCCGCGCTACAATGAGGCCATCTCTGCCCCCGCTCACTTGCGTATGAATAGGCGCCCTGGGCCTGGGCCTCGTCGCAGCGACCGGGCTGTCCCAGATGTTTACGTTCCTCGCGTACACGCTCCCCATTGTTGGCGGGATCCTCGCAGACACGCGATGGGGCCGCTTCAAGACAATCTGCATCGGCACAGCCATCGGCGCGGTCGCGCATGTGACGCTCGTTCTCTGTGCGTGGTGGCCCTTGCGTGATTGATGACCTAACGCGTCTGGTCCAGGTGCCCTCCCAGCTGTCATTTCCGCTGGCCATGCGTTGGCTCCGTTCATCGTTTCCATTCTTCTGCTCGCGCTGGGCACTGGGTGCATCAAGGTCCGTCCAGTCCAGACCTAGTTCTCGTAAGTTGCTGTGATGTAACCTCACGCGTTCGCAGACTTGCATTGCGCCTATTATCGTCGATCAGTCGACCGTGATGTCCCAGTCTGTCGTTGTCCTTCCGTCTGGCGAGAAAGTCATCGTCGATCCGGGGGCTGTGAGTCATTCAGAGTCTTGCTCGCTGCTTTGCTCAATTCTGATGGCAGACCATCCAAAGCATGCTCATGGTCTGTCCTGTTCCAATCATCACTGGTGATATTTATTTCTGACCGTTCGCTAGATATACTACTGGTCGGTCAACATCGGCGGCTTTTTCTCCGTCGCGACAAGGTCAGAGGTTGCTGCACCACACCTGTCATCCGCGCGTGCTCATCAAACCCAATCTTGAAGCTACGCGGAAAAGAGAGTTGGATTTTGGCTCGCCTATCTGGTAGGCTGACTAGCCCTGCTTCCGAGGCTGAATCGCGAGGCTGATTCTTCGAAATCGAAGGTTCCCGGCATCTTGTACATGCTCATGCCGATCACTTTGGTCATCGTGTATCCCAAGCTTGTGCGACTCCCTCCGCAAGGATCGGTCGTGCTCGATGCGTTCCGGGTGTTTAGGTGACTTTCTCTCGCACTCATCGGCGGCGTCGAGTGCATGGGGCTGATTTATCTATCCGACAGAACCATCTTCGAACGTGCTGGACTGAAGGGTATGTTGAAAGGCGGAGATAACTGGAATCTGGCGAAGCCGGTTTGTCGCAGCTTTGTGCTGTTCGTGGTAGAAAACTGATCATCCCACAGACCTCTTTCGCGACTTCTGATGAGCTCGAGAGAACGAGTCGGATCAGATGGGATGACGGTAAAGTCCTTATCTGTTGAATGAATAGTTCTCTAACAGACATCCAGAATTCGTGGATGAGTTGAAACGAACCATCAAGGCTTGCAAACTATTTTTATTCCTGCCTATCTTCAGTCTGCAAGTATGCATCCGATCCACGATCAGTTGTTTGGCTAATGTACTGAACTTAGTGCGGACGGCGGAGTTTCCGTGATATTGGCCAATCAAGGCGCGTCGATGACCACCGATGGGGCTCCTAACGATCTTCTGTCCAACTTCAACGCGCTTACCATCGTGGTGGCGATCCCGCTCCTCAACTTCCTCGTCTATCCCGCTTTGCGGCACGTCGGAATCAACTTTTCGCCGATCCGCCGCATCGTCTTCGGATTCCTCGTCACAGCAGCCGCGATGGTCATGGGGGCGGTCGTCCAATGGCGAGTGTACCAGACCTCGCCGTGCGGATATCACGCGTCGACGTGCACGATCGGGACGGGCGTCTCGCCGATCTCGGTCTGGGTGCAGATCCCGCTGTACGCGCTGCCGGCGCTGGCCGAGGTGCGGCGCTCGAGAACCGGCTGGGTGACTGACTCGGACTGACTGCGCGCGCCAGATATTCATCATCGTCACGGCATACGAGATCGCGTACACGAGTGCCCCGCGGAATATGAAAGGGGTTGTGATGGGCCTGGTGCTGTTCACGAACGCCATCTCATCGGCGATCATGCTCGTCATATCCCCGGTGTTCGTCGACCCGAATTTGATCTGGCCGTTCGTCGCGCTGGCGGGTGTGCTGCTGCTCAGCGCGGTGCTGATCTGGGCGTGTGAGTGCAGTTGGTTTGTGGTGTCTCGAGGACCCAGGGACTGACATGTTGTGCGCAGTTTTCAGGGACATGGACCGGGATAGTGTGTCAGTGGAGCGGGAATAGACTGTAACCGTCGAGTGTAACGTGAATATTATAGACTTTTGAGATCCGCAACAAATTCAAGTATGGGAGGCCGCCCGCACAACGAGTGCTAGTTAAATGACTGTTTAAACTTGGAGGTCTAGAGTTCAAGATCATCCTGCAGCCTGCCCCTTCGTTGTGTCAGGAATTCTCGACACGGAGAGTAAGCGGTCCTCTACACCCCGCAAGACGCACTGATCTGCAAGTGCGTTAGAATTATGTGTGCGGAACGAATCTAGAGCTCTCTCCAGCTGGGCTGGAAGCTTGTCATGAGCCACATTGAACATCCAGATTGCGATGCAGCGTTTGGACGTGGGCCCGGCGGAGCCTGATCGGCCGATCAACTTTGCCATCAAGGGAGCTCCATCGGGAACGCTCAACTTGAGTCCATCCGCTTGCGCTTGGGCCGAAAGTCCGTGAGTCCGGAGCAACTGTACATGGATACTGACTGGGACGGGTGCAGGATCCTATCCGTCTCTTTGCGCGAACTTATGACATGTCTGTCACCGATCGCTTGGGAGACCGTTTGGAAGTTACAGTCCGCATGTTCGAGTCGGACGAAAACAATTTCCGGGCGCTCGACGTTTCGTCGGGGACACGCGATTTTGCATCCGGGGGATGCAACGGG